AATTTTGATAAGTAGTTTAGAAGTTACGAGGGAACAGATGAACAAACATACATACATACATACATACTAACCAGTCAAATTCATAACCCTGCTTTTGCTTTGCCGTAGTCGGGTAATAAATAAGGACTTGTTTTAATTGTTCCGTAAATATTGTTTATCTGTTTATATGTCAAATATTTTGAGTAAGAAGACGGTTGAAAAAGAAAATATTGTTATATAAGGGACTTTACATATCAGTACAATCGTACAGTTATAAAATAATTATGTATTTTCTTAAATAAACAATAGGTCTTTACCTATGAAATTGCCGTTCTGCAGTACTGGCCATTTCAAATCAAAATAGTTTTTGTTAGACTAAGGCAAATTTATTTTGTTTTTAAAACATGGGATTCTTTTTCCAAAAATAAGTCATTTGTTTATTGATTCGAGTTACATTTTCATCGCGTTTCAAATCAAAAAATACGTTTAAATTTTTTCATGCAAAACGGCAATTTCATAGGTAAAAGACCTATTAGTATATTAAAGTAATAGTAGTTCTGAAGCCTACTCAATACAAACAAACAGTCAATCTTTTCTTTATAATATTACTAAAGTGTTACTAAATGGCTTGGCTATGAGTTGAGTTTTAAATAACACCCAACTTATTGCCAAGCCATTCAAGATAAAGATAAATTCTTAGTGTCAGACTAGAATGTTGCAGCTAAATGTCACATAAAATGGTGCTTTCAGTAGTGTCGTTGTTGCAAGCCGTCTGCCGCCAGACCTCCGATGGGACCAATGTCACAGATAGTCTGGCGCAAACTCCATTTGACTACAAATAAGATTTCCACTCGAATCCCCACAAAATAACGTTAAAATGTTGTTGAAAACTAAAAGAAATGCATATTTGCGTGTCGAGATGGGGTGACATTTTTTTTATAATAGTTTTTCGGTCTGGTTGTGCCAGACACAATAACTAGGGTTGCGGGATAAGGTAAATACACATTGGCCCCAGCCTGGACCAAGAAAAGGAACGGGGTGGTGTTTAGGCGCGGACGCGGCGACGTCGCCGCTTCCGCGCACGCTGCTCATAAGGAAGAACCCCTCTGTGGTTCGAAACTAGTAGAGCTTTTCTCAATATTTACACGTGAGTAACCCGCGATTTTTAGTTAATAAGAACTCCTTTTGAATCCCAATGAATTCCCTCCTTACACGGCACGACACAATGTTTTATTGGTACAAAAAATTACAATTGAAATGGCTTTTATTGACTTCAATAATTTGCTGTTTATTACATTACGACCGGAAAAATGAGACCGTCACAAATCTGTGAAGAGTATGTAATGTAGTTTCTTCCTTAATTAAAAAATTGCGGGTTACTCACGTATTATGTATATGCGCAGCAGCAGCCTACTCGCAGCAGTAGGCTGCGCGACGTCGCCGCGTCCGCTCGCGTTGCTCATGAGGAAGAACCCCTCTGTGGTTCGAAACTAGTAGAGCTTTTCTCAATATATACACGTGAGTATCCCGCGATTTTTAGGTAATTTAGTATGTCTCACGATAGTTGTTATAAAAACATAGTTTCTTGCTCTTTCTTTTCCAAATGATATTATATTAAACATTATTTGGAACAACACACACACAGCACCTGTCTTCACAGACGGCCAAACCAAAGTGCCTTTTGAAAAATGGAATTAAAATAAATGCTTTTACTTAAGGCACGCAATGCCAAGCAAATGTCTAAAAAACATATATAAAATAAAACATATAAAATCGTCTACAAATAATGCAAATATTTCTATAAGTATAGATAAAATATATAAAATCGCATACTTCAACAAATAATGCAAATATTTTTAGCTCTAACCCTAAAATCACACTTGCAACTTTATAACCCAAGAAAATTATAATTTATTGATTAAAATTTAACTCAAATTAAGCACAACCCTACCATTTTGTGCCTGTCAATATTTAGAGCCAGACCCATTGATTAAAGAGAAGCACGGGCCAGATATTTAATTATGTGACGTTACACCACAACGGAGATTTAATATGCAGACCCACCACTGCTCGATGTGATTAACATTTGTAATCTGGGAAGGTGACATTTTGTTCGACAGGTTATTAAATTATATCTACTAGAAGTTTATGGTACATTTTTAAGGTTTGGTCTACCTACTAGTTTATGGTACTACCTTTTACTTTCGTAATTTTTAAACTACATGTTTTAGGTAAGTTAAAAGGTTAATTAATTTTTAAGGGTGGCAAAACGATCGTATCTCCTATGGTATAGGTCGCCCAACGAGTAGACGGATTATCTGATGGTAAGCAATCAGCGCCGCCACTGGACACCCGCAACACGAAAGAAGTTACGAGCGCGTTGCCAGCCTTAAAGGGGATAAGGGCTAAGGATGTTTAAGGATTGGGAAGGGATAGGGAGAGGGGGAGAGTTTGGGCCTCTGGTAATCTTACTCACACACAAAAAAACCTGTCTCAAAAAAACCTGTTTTATCCTTTAAATTCCACGTCAAAATCAAAGTCAAATCATCATTTAAATCTGAACATTACAAGCACTTTTAAACGTCAAACAAAGGTAAAAATTGTCCGTTCCCTAGTGGAACAATTTGCTCATTCCGAAGTGCAGATTCAGATATAGAAGAACAAGCAAGAAATTCCACGCAGCCCTAATAATTGAATACTAACACAGTATAGAATTAAACAGAATAATATTTAAAGAATTGTGCTTCGTGGAAATATATGTACTTGAGAAAATAATGTTGCTGCTGTTGATGGAGAATGGAGATGGTGCCCAACAGGGATAGGCCCTCTTCAATTCGGGTTGTTATATTTTGATTACTGACTCTGTTACTAACTAACGCCTAAGGTGAAATACAGATAGAAATATAGGTGAACAGCATAGACGTATTATAGGGTTCCCATTTTTATCTAGGTTTAGGTAAGGAAACTTTAAAATGAAAAACGTTTTCAAATATCTAGAGTACTTGCAGGGTAAAAGCTTCAACCTGATTCGATAGATGGCGTTGTTTAATTTTTGCCTCCGGCTGAATCGTGCTTTGGTTTCGGTACACGTACATATTTAGTACGTATACGTATTTGGTATAATAATATTACTGTATATTATTGAAGTGTTATTATTATTAGTCCAAAGTCAATATAAATAATATTACAGTATTCTTTTGTTACATTCTGAAGATTTAAATTTATATGAAAAACAAATGAATAATAAAAACAAGACAAGACATTACATTGCAATTATAAATGAGGATGTTATCAGACATAATTGATATATAGAAAAATATTATTAATAAATAGAAGATTGAGTAGGATAATTATATAAAATAGTTTGTTTTGAAGGATTTCGAAAAAGCGGAGTAAAAATGAAAAAAATGCTATTAAAAGCGTTTCATCGTGGGAATAATCTATTCTAAGTTTGACTGTTGGATTTGATTCGTGTGTCATTTTAATTATTGAGCACGCAAGCAAGCACAAGCACCCTTTTTTTTTGCTAGACGGGAAATCATCACTAACTTTTTTTACCCTGGGTACAGGGAGAGGGAGTGTTAGACTTTTACTGACTAAAAACTACCGTGTAAGGTACACGGTAGTTTTTAGTCAGTATATGCTAAGTATATGGTATGGTTCTCGATTTCTTATTCATAACCGTAGTTTTATCATGATATGGTTTGTACTTTAGAAATATGTGTATGAGTATGACTATCCTAGAAAAAAAAAAAACGTTTGCTTGCTAGGTACAAGTAACGCCATCTTGCATATAAATTGAAAACTATGCAGTGAGTAAATGTTTATAGCTTAACATACTTTTAAATGTGTGAATTTACTTTCATTCGACTGTGTTTGTAATGTTTTTACAATCGATAAATTTTACTTGTATTTGTGTAAATAAATGTAGTATTAATGAAGTTTGATATAAGCGAGGGTCTTACAAGAATTTATACCATAGCTTACACCTTACATATACCTTATACCATATATTTATATTCAAATTGTAAACTAACAAACTTTCGAGTTTTTTTAATCAACGTAATTTGTATGAGGCTTAGTCGAATTTTGCCTACACAAACGCATGTATAAACTCATAAAGGACTTGGTAGTACACAACCCTTTTGTACAGCACCATCTATCGAGTTGATGTACAAACTTTCTCATTTAGTTTACATAAAGTTTCAATTTTACATAGAGGTCGCTCTATGGTTGAGATTCAAAGCGTCACCATTGACAATTGCATACTATCAATGTCTGTGTCGGCTCGGCCGGAATAATACCACTGCTTTACAGCAAACCGGCGTGAAACAACCATAGCGTTGTGTTTCGCCGTGTAAGTGAGGTTACGGGAGGCCTTCCCCTTTCCCAATCCCTAAATCTCCTCACTCCTCACTCCCCACTCCCCACTCGTAAATGCTGCGTTGCAGGTGTCCATGGGCGGCGCTGATTGCTTACCATCAAATAATCCGCCTGCTCGTTTGGCGACCTATTACAAAAAAAAAAACATACGAAGCATACTAAATAAATATTCAAATTGATTTATCATTTGATATATTCCCAATATCAGTTTAAAACTCCAAACCCATAAGAGTGATAGTATTTTTCTTTTGATTAGACCACCATTCGACGATCTCTCTCATAAATATGTCATGCATTCACAAAAAATAACGCAAATTAAGTATAGTTTCCTAGCCTGAATCGAGCCTAGGTCACGTTGTACAAACAAATTATAGGTGCCATGTCAATATCTAATAAAAACCTGCTTTACCCCACGTATAGTAGTTTTTCATAAAATAAACACATTTAAAATTGTTTTATATCTCATTTTATTTAAACAACAAAAATAGGGCACAGAAAACAATATTGATCAGTTTAAATTTGGCTAAAATAATTGTAAATTGTAAACTATAAATTGCAAATAATGTAATTTAAGTTATTAAGGACTACAATTAAAATAACCAATTAATAACCAACGAATTAAGTTACTTATCGTCTTTATAAAAACAAGATGAAATAATATGGTATTAATTCGTTTGCATTTTAAATATTTAAAATTACAGAAATACACAAAAGTAAAATAATTGACACAAGTAAAATATTTATTAAATTGATTTTAGTATTATTTCTTTTAATACATATCACAATTTCATATTTTAAAATCGATATTAAGGGTTCTTTTTCATGTTATTATAATGCCAAAATAAAACTGATCACAAATAAATAAATAATCGATTTTAAAAAACAATAACATTAGAAAAATATTCTAGTTCTAAACAATGTTTGGTATATTACTAACAACGTTAAGGGAATTTTATACAAAAAGATTGTCACTGTGAGCTGGCACATATTGTTACAAAAATAAATATTAATTAATTCGAAAATTCATAATTATAATCATAAAAATGAAAATAAATTTATTGAACTATCCTAAAATAATTTAGATTAACTTAGGCTCTGCTTCGGAACTAGAACACAAATTTAATTAAAATAAATTATATTAAAAAAACAATTGTAATATTTTAACAATTTCCTAATTTTAATAGTTGCTATTAAATTACTTAACCATTTTGAAAAAAAGTAATGATGAGACTGAATCTATTCATATAACACCAGCTCACAATAAAAATGAACCTTATTGACAACTAATCAGGAATATACATCATAATTATCGCTTAGTTTACATTCCTAATCACATCTTAGTATAACTTCAAACAGCCATCATTAATTACACACTAATTTACAACTAAGTATCTACAACATCGTGTTTGGCACACCTGAGTTTTAAAAGGTTTTTGGCATCTTTTGGCTTTTTTCTTTACAAAAAGATTTAATTGCATTTTTTTCTTAATAATAATAATTAAGTAAAGTTTAAATTTAGAACAATAGAATTCACACGTTATAAAATAAAAAAAAATATTTCTCAATTTGTTATTCTATTTTTAAAAAGGTCAAAGTTTTGCAATATAAAGGAATAAACTAAATTGAATTTTATGTCATATGTTATGTGAGGTGTAGGATATTAATTACACTTTGTAATCATCGTCATCATCATCAACCTGATTCGGTCCACTGCAGGACATTTTATAGGCATCACCAATTGAATTTTGTAGTACATTAATGAATTGAGAATAAATAAGAAATGTTGATTAAAAACGGAGATAATTACATGAATTCATTTACGATGCAATATGGGATACTCATAAGATTGTTGAATATACGAATGTGTTATTTTTATAGTAAAAAAATATTGACAAATATAAAATAGGTACATTTTAAACGGTTTTTTTTTCTGTAAATATTTTTAAAGAGGGAAGAAGTTTTGAAGTCTATGTACATGAATTCAATCACTGTCATGTCTTCCATTTACAAAATATACAAAATATTTCATACTCGAGCTAAAACCACTATTTTTGGTCGTTTAGACTATCGCTCATAGCGAAACTGACGTTTTGTTTACAATTGTATAGTACAATTATGCTCTATGGATGAAAACAACAACGATATTTCAAAGGATTTTTTAATTTTTTAGAGTGTTAAAATTACAAAATATTTGCTGAAGTAATCTTGGCACTTAAAATCACGCTTATAAAACTCAGATTGGTTCAGAAAAAACTAACTGACTTAAAGTAATATTTGTTTCAAGAACTTTAAATAACGAGATTATCTTCTTCTAACTTTTTAAAATTTTCATCCACATAGCACCTTACATTCCAATTGAAAATAAATAAAAAGGATATCATTTCATAAAGTGACCTTATCCTAAATATTTCTTGATTTGACACAAATATTTTGACTAGAAAAATCTAAGAAAAGAGATTTCATTATTTTACAGATTTCATAAAATCTAATGGGAGACATCGTTATCTATTGGGGTTTCACAGCTAGAAACATTTACAATTAACATTTAATAAGAATTGTTATTTGGACTATCATCATTATCATTTGAAGTCACAGTACTATTAGTGTCTATTAAATTAGAATTTATTTCATCTTTCATCACATTATCATTATCAACTATATCAGATACATTATGATTGCTACATTCACTGTAACTATTTATTTGGTCTAGTTTATTTGAATCTTCGACAGTATCACTGTCTTCTATTTCTCTTTTTTCTACAATAACTTCAATACTTGGTTTGTAAAAGTCATCTTTCTTGTCAATGTCTGGTGGTCGAACTGTGGAGAGGGTGTTTGAAAGGAATGAAGATTGTAGGTTGAAGCCTGGCAGCAACTTAGGTTGTAATGGCAGCATGAGGTCTAAGGAGCCGGTGGTTGCAGGTCTTGGTTGCAGGGGCGGGGCGGTCATTAGAGGCGGTTGAAGAGACGCTAGCGAGATTGCTCCAGACTGCGTGTTGATTACTGGACTCTCCACTGGAAAGAGAGAAGTTATCATTACTACAGTGGCTTTGGAGGCTGAAGGAAGATAACATAGGAGTAACGATAAAGTTACTAAGAGTATATTGGCACTTTTGTCTGTACTTAATAGATAGACTGAGATCATGTTGTATTTTTAGCAAAAAATAATCCTAAGTGGTTGTAGTAAGACCAGTTTGGGGTGAATAATAATAAAGTGAGTGAAGGTTTTAATAAGGAATGTTATCGCATGCAGGTTTCATAAGCTCGTTTACTTCGGAATGAAGTGCGACTTGTCCTGCTTAGCTATGGTTGAAACAAAATGATGTTAGCTTTACCAATTGGCGCTCTTGCTTGAAGAGGCATTGCTGCTGTAGTTGGTGGTCGAAGAAGATTCGTGGTTGGACCCTGAAGTGCCAAACTGATCATATTCATGCCGTTAACACCTGAAATTGTGGAATTAATTTGTTAGTGTAATGCTACATGCAACATAGTGCGCAAATAAGGTTAATATTGTATTAAAAATCAACTTAATTATATTAAGACGCATTTGTTATTAAACGTCACACAGTGTAGTTATAACAGATTTTTTTGATTATTTCTTTCCAGCACTACAGTTTAACTAGTCAACAACCAGAATACAATTTTAAATAATAGTTATGTAATTCAATAACAATAAATGTAAATCAGTAACCAGTACTTTTTATGAATTAAAGAATTTGAGTTAGTTAAAATCCGCAATACCACGCCATCTCGGTACTCTAAATAAAAATATGAGGAGAAGTCACTTACCAAACTTATTGCCTCCCGGAGGCAAATCCTTTAGTACTACGGGGTGTTTTACAGCATTAACACGACGATTGGAGGCGCTGACATCGCGTTTTCTTCTTGGCTGCTCGACTGGCAACACTCTGCGCCGTTTCTTTGGCAGTTTCGATCGAGCCTGTAATAGATGGCGTTGATAATTATTGTAACAGGCTGGAAGTTTCAACTAGTACCTGTGACTGTTATAAACGAAATTCTGTTTCCGAAAATCATGTTGATGTTGGGTAGATGGCGCTTAACTGTTTAGTGTTACATTCGTTAGATGGCGTTAAAAGTCAGATCTTGTTTTTCACAGCCATTCGATATTTGGTTTTCATATAAAAGTGTCACATAAGAGATATTATTCATCATGTTCACACATCAATGACTCCTAACCGGCACATTATGGAAAAGCGTTTTATGAAAATTCCGCATTCAACGAGTGCTTCTAAAGGAAACATCAATCTTATTACAATGTGCGAGTAACGAGAGGCACAATGTAGGGATTTTAGTATAAATTCTGATACATTTTAGGCATAAAAGAAATGTCTGTATTTAATAAAAGGTTGTAGGGTTTTTATAAAAAGTCTTTTTGAGATAAGAAAAATTTTGAAGGTGAAAATACCTAATCAATTTGTTGTAAAGAAAATTCGCTTGGTTCTCTAGTTTAGCTTTTTGTATCACAATGTAAGTAGGGTTAGGTAATTTAAATCAATTCTGAATACCTCTATATTAATTTTAGTTTTATTTGCATTTGTAGTAGTCTTCGTGTTGTACTTTTAATATTATGTTTTAAATGCTTTGATTCTAATACTTAATTATTCTTTCTCTACAGCCACAAAAAAATACTCAAAGAATTTTCTTCAAATTAGTTAATTCAAACAAAGCCACGGCGAATTGTCAGAGTAAACTAATACATACACTAGTAAGCCAAGATGTCTACATAAACATGTTTGCGAAGTGTTGACAGAGATCTGCGCCTAATGTAATTAACAAAGCTGTAACACAACTGACGGTGACATGATGTAAACAAACAAACGAATGTACATTATGTATGTATAGTAACATAGATAGTTTGGTTTGGCTTGACGTGACGTGTGGTTAGCACGTCGGTAATTATACATTTCTTAACCACTTTAATTGTCGTCTGGAAAGTGTAAACAGTAAATGCTTCGCTAACTTAGGCCATTGGCGCTCCCCCCATCATTTGCGGTGGGAAAATTACTTCTCTCTATGTCTCTTAGGGCGAAGCAAGTGGTAGTGTTCTCTCGTCTCCTACTGGCTAAAAACATCCTGTTGCCTTTCTTACTTCAGAACGAGGTCTCGGTACCTTTTGAGCTTGCCCCGGAACCCCGGCTGAACTGCTGGGCTCTTTGAGGCGTGCCCGGAACGCTTCGCGCCATACGTTCGGGTCTGGAGCCCTACTTGGAGGTATTTTTGCCAACCGCTTGCAAGTGGCGTTTAAATTTCTATAAACTTATTAGTTGATTTCATGTCAAAATTATTTATAGAGATTAATCTTTTTTGCTTTGTTTTGTCTTGTTGAAAAGTAAAAAGATCAATTAATTCATATGTACTTCAATATTATTTTCAAAATAATCAATGCCAATATTTTATGTGATAGGCAAACGAACAAACTTATTCTCTGTTAGTAAGCAATCAGCGCCACCCATGGACACCCAAAACAACTGAGGAGTTACGAGTGCGTTGCCGACCTATTAGGGATATGAGATTTGGAGATTTTAGGATTGGATTGGAAGGAATTGGGGGAGGGGAAGGATTGGGCCAGAGTTACCTCACTTACACGGTGAGACACAACGTTATGATTGTTTAACGTCAGTTTTCTGTGAGACCGGTTATGAAAGAGTCATCTTTCTGTATGTATATTTTACCTCTACGTTATTTTGTTAAGAAATAACTACAATGTTTTATCTGTATTGTTGTATCACCAATATTTATTACTCTCATACAATTTACATCCATATATCAGGGAGGGTGCGAGGACAAACTTACATAATTTATCAAAATACCTTTTATCGAAGTTACCGTCTAACAAAAACTTGTTTACACTCATGAATAATGAATCCATGTACAGACAAACAGATTTCAATTACATTAGATAGCTTTTATGTGTGAATTGATTCTGTAATGTTATTGTTTAATATGATTACAGTATTTATTGAATACGACATTATACAGGTAAATTATTGTTTTGTTTTGAAGTATTTGTAAGTTTGAAGAAGATGAAATTGGTTTTGCTAAAAGTGTATAGCTACTAAATTTCAGCTCAATAGGCTCAGGAAGATATTTCCTTCAAAGTTCAATTCAGAGATTTTAGTTCACAAATTTACAGACACACTTGTTATTATTATTTTTTGTTGAGATACGATACTTATTCTATTTAGCCTATCGCCCCGGGTGAGGCGAGATTGAGTGTCAGAGTACGAAAAATCACCGCGTTCCTTATCCTAATCTGGACTGGGCTTATACATATATTTCATCCCTATTGTTTTTGTATTGTGTTTCGAATTTTCACGGTTGAAAGGTTGAAATGTTATGTAGTGGAAGGTAATTTGTAAAAACATAGGATTTGGTTATGTAATGAGATAACATAGTCTACTTTTAAGTCTCTCTGTAATAAACGGCTAGAATTTTATAACGATTCACAACACTTTTGAAAACATAACCTTTACACATATATGGATAAACATACTACAATAATATATGAAGTAAATATATACTCGTTCATGTGGTATTTGCACAAATATGATGAAGCCTTCGAGCCAATACAAATAGTAATTAGGTCAATGGAGCGGTCCACATTATAGCGTTGTGTTAAAAAGAGAAATAAAAGCGTGCTGTTGTTTATATAATTGTGAGTTAATTAATACCAACTTTAATAATATTGCGCTACAAGCTTTGTGGGGTAGGCAGATTTGTGATTCCATGTAGGGTCGTGCACGGATTTGTTATATTTATAGCCAAAGTTACTAAGGGACTATGCGGTTTTCTTATCATAAAAGCATTATTCAAAATCAGTGCTGCTGGTTTTGAGATCATGCCAAACTGACACAAAAAAAATTTTTACTTTATATTATTGTTAGTATACACGACAATTTAATGTTATTTAATAATATCCTTAGCCCTATATCCCTATGTATGCTTAAACCTCTTAAACTTCACAACGGATTTTGATACAGTTTTTAAATGAATAGAGTTGTCAATGATTAAGGTTTTTAGGTATGTATAATAACATCCAAATAGTGGACATATTTAGTCAGGATTGCATCCATTTGTTGTATATTGTCGTGGTGGCCTGGAGCTTAAGGCGCCCGCTTGTCATGTATGAGGGTGTAGGTTCAAAACCTGGCAAGTACCAATGTGATTTTCTCCGAGTTATATGTACTTTCTATGATTATTTAGACACCACTGACATTCGGTGAAAGTAACATCGTGAGGAAACCTGGACTTATTATAATTTCTAATTATAAGTTTGAAATCGCCAACCCGCATTGACCAAGCGTGGTGATTAATGCTCTAACCTTCTCCGTGTGAGAAGAGGCCTTTGCTCAGCAGTGGACACTTATAGGCTGATGATGATTGCATCCATGCGAAGCCGGACAGGTCGCTACTGTTAGATAAATTAATGAGGCAATGTACTTGGTTACTTACTAACTTGAAATGGATAGTTATAAAGTTCACTGTTTATATCAAAGTCAAAGTTATACTTGTCTTGTCTTGCGGTCACTGAAACTTAGTGCACATAACTTACTACATTCAGTGGTTAGGTCTCAACTGGTGTAAGTGCTTCGTTGCCTTGAAACTTCATCTGAAGTAATAAGTTTATGTAATTTAAGACCTTTGTATGTTGATAACGACGACGTTGTGCTGGTCGTCGTCTGGTTAAGAAGCTCACTTTAATGCATGAAGGAGCAGGTTCCTAATCTGACAAGTACCAATGGGGCTTTTTTTAATTTAAGTATATGTAATTCCTAAGATTTTTTAGACACCAGACATACAGTGAATGAAAATACTGTGAGGAAACTTTGATTTATAATTTCTAATTATAAGTTTTAAATCGCCAATCCACCTTGAACAAGCTTGGTGATAAATGCTCAAAACTTCCTTTGTCATGTGAAGATATCAAGAGGCCTTTGGTCACCAGTGAGCACTTAAAGGCTGATGATGTATGTTGAATATGTTAGTGAAAGAGGAATTAAATTACAGGAAAAAATTCAAATAATTATTTTTCCCATTAGGATGTCTCCTAGGGGAGCCACGACACTGCCTGCATCTCACAAAAGGTAAGCGTCTAGCATTAATAATATAACCGGTGTGAATTCTAATACAATAAAAAAGTAAATCAACATACTCTTTCAATATATTTTTGCTCTGTAACCCTGTTTATCTTGAGCAAGTTCTACACTACGAAATTGCGTAGCAAGCGTAGCAGTTGCTACGCCGCGCCGTAGCAGCTATAGTAAGCGCATAACAATGGTTACCGTGATTTGTGATGGAAACAAAGAATAGCATAGATGAATATAATATTAAGTACAATCTGAAAAACTAATCAGAGGCCCTTCGTTCATAACCTTGCCTATTCGAGTCATGTGATTTACATAACATTATGTGCTATTTTGATATATTAATTTGCTTATATTTTATTTAAAGCAATCAGCGCCGCTCATGGACACCCGCAATGGAGAAGTTACGAGTGCCGACCTTTTAGGGATTAGAGATTTGGAGATTTACGGATTGTGGAGGGATTGGGGGAGGGGAAGGATTGGGCCTCCGGTAACCTCACTCACACGGCGAAACACAACGCTGTGGTTGTTTCACGCCGGTTTTCCGTGGTATCACTCCGGTCGAGCCGACCCATTCGTGCCGAAGCATGGCTCTCCCACACGTAAAGCTTAACTAAGTGTACAATGGACAAGGTGGTTTCTTCCAGACGATTTTTAGGAGGAAATTTAAGAGAAACCATAATATAACAGTACTCATAATACTAAAATCATAATACTGAACTGAATCGATTTACCGTATAAACTTTACACAAGAAAGTCAATATACAAAATACCTTGGCCTTTAAACTAACTGGTTGGCACATACGAGTATAACAAGATCAATCAATTACGAAAGCCTGCTCAGACGCAAACGTTTGATTGCTTTATAATTGAGTGAGTTCCTCGAACACCAATGTGACCTCATGTGTAAACTATTACTGAGTAACTAAGGCTTCATTCAAGGTTTAGTATTAATATGATTTGTAAATGAAGGCTGCATTGCTTAGGATTTAATTTTCTTGTGTTGTTAGGTTAAAGTTGGTTTTGGTTTGTACAGGTGGTTTAGTTTTGAGATTGTTCGAAAGGCAAAACCTTACAAGGTACATATACTATATGACGTTACTTAATACTCCTTTATATTACAATTCAGTAAAATATTAACCAATTCAATAACAAATTGAAATGATGAACACTCGCAATACGAAAGGTATTACGAGTGCGTTGGCGGCCTTATTGGGAAAAGAGTTGTGGGTATTTAAGGATTGGGAAGGGATAGGGGAGGTGGAAGGATTGGGCCTCCAGTAACCTCACTCACACGACGAAACACAACGCTGTATTTTTTTCACGCCGGTTTTCTGTGAGGCCGTAGGTATCTAATGGGTCGGCTCGACTAGAGTATCACTCTACTCGAGCCGAGTCACTTCACACACATAAACTGCCTTTGCTCAGCAGTAAGTACTTATAGGCTATGGTGTGATGTGTCACATCACACATTATCTGCCTTGGTATTGAATTCTGCAGCCCGACACTTTTTTATAGAATTTAGCCACTCAACAATTCTGAATTATATTATCTTTTCAATTTGTTATTTGTTAATACTTGTCTCAGCTTCCATTATTTTGCTTTACGCCTAAAATAGCCTGACAAAATTATCAACCAAATTGTTGTCAAAGTTTCTTCAAAGTAATTTCAGTTCGAAACTGCAGAAAATGATTGATGGCATCGTATTATGACGTAAGTACATAATTGCTTTAATAAGTTTTTGGATAAACAAGTGATTAGGGAGTTTGTATTTGTACAATCTCTACATAGTATAAAACGAAATCGCTTTCTCTGTCCCTATATCCCTATGTATGCTTAAATCTTTAAAACCACGAACCGGATTTTGGTGCGGTTTTTTGTAATAGTGTGTTTGTTGACGGTGAAGGTTTATATGTATCATAACATCCATTAAATAGTAGAGCAAATAAGTATCAGCATTGCTTCCGTGCAAAGGTGTGGCGGGTCGCTAGTATTTTATAGTAAAAGGTTTAATGATTTGTGTTCGTCATTCGTCACGTAATTGTGACATGGAACATGCGCCGACGCACCACACTATATTAACACTTATTGTTCTATCTGCCTGTTCCTCTTTATTTTTCTCTTATTGCGTTAGAAATGAATGTTATCATTTTATTTGCATTCAACGAAATATTTTAACATACATCATTGCTGTTTCAAATTAAATTAGTAACACTGCGTGGAAAAAACCTATATGAAATCGATACTTGTTAGCGTTGATTAACTGTAAGTCAGTTAAGAATGAAGAAAATATTTCCTTTATTTCTCATCGACAGTCCTTCTGTTTATTAATTAATTCTTATTTCCATTTTTCTACGTAACTCAAAATGTAATTAAAATACGTTACTATGTCACTTAAAACTTACTCTGAGTTGTTTATCGTCTTAGCTTAACCAAAACAGCTATGAAGACACAATTTCTTAAAACAATATCTCAGCAAAAATGTACGAAACAACATTTAATTTTCGAAAGAAAAACCACGAAAGCGCTTTCCAGCATATAATCTGATTATACAGTAGATAAGCTTCGGAGGACTGCGAATAAAAAATATATCACCTTCAGGGAATTGCAAGTAAATAATGTTTAACCTCCGACAACACTGTTTATACGTAAATATTTTCATAAATCTACCAACTGACAACTTCGAGATAGAGCTAAGATTGACTTTTGCGAAATTACGAATAAACAGCGGATCAAAGGAGATATGTAAGGCTAAAAATAAATGAACAGTGAATTATTGCTAGAGTAATGCTTGAAACTGTACTGTTCTATAACATTTCTGCGAGTTTTTGAGCAGAATTGAGCCTCGTGTAACCTCACTCGTACGGTGAAAGATAACACAAATGTGGCATTACGCCTGTTTTCTGTGAGACCTTGGTTTCAATACATACCTCACAGGATGTATCAATTGTATCGGTTCAATCAATCCTTATGCAAGCCTTTTTATAACTTTGAAAAACTTAGAAACTTAGTTTCACGTGAATGTCTTGTGAGACTGTGATCGAGCCGGCTCATTGGCACTCTCCCTCGTTTAATGTAAGGAATATTCTTGCTGGATAGTTTTTCCTTCATATTATATAAATGCTTGGGTCCTCTTACCAAGCCATATACCATATATTTATCGTAACTTAAATAATTTCCTAACTAGACCAGGTTTATGTTGTAGACAGGTCCACTTATGTGCCAGCTCTTCGGTGTAACGAGCGAGTGACTGAGTATGCACGGTCGCTTAACTAAACTGGCACGACAGAATTGCGAGTAAATTATTATTTAAAATAGTGTTTGCGGATGTTATAATATGTTTCTTATATTTTCGGTACAATTTTATGATTTAATAGTTAATTCATTGATAAATTGTCTTATGTGGGTAGAAAGGTATAAAAAGTGATTACAACTGACTTTCGGACCACTTTTTGTCTTGCTGCAAAGGAGTATACACCGATACAAAGTTAAGTACTAATACTGTTATTTTGCTGCTATTTTTGTTAAACATTTTGTATAGTAAAAGTGATGAAACATTTGTATTATCTTATATTTTATTTTACATATTTTATGCAATGTGGTATATCATGGTGTATAATGTGTGATTATGATTAAATACATGTTTTAGTGTAGAAAAGCTTGTTTTCAAAAAATAACTATAGAATAAAGAACCTATTTTCCATAAACATGAAATATAATCAGTAAAACATTACTAGTAGTTTGACTTACATCAGCCACCTGATTAATTTACAGTACTTCATTATTTAGTAAACTTGAAAGTTAATACTTTACATTGCATATTTTTCCCCGTTTATAACACCCGCATGTTATGTTGATAAAAAGTAGCCTACGTCCTATTCCGTAGTGTATCATATGCCTGTGCCTAATTTCATCTAGATCCATCCAGCCGTTTTGGCGTGATTGAGTAACAAACATCCAAACATCGTAACTTTCGCATTTATAATGGTAGTTAGATAGAATATGTAAATTACAGTAAAGTAGAATTGAGCTCTATCATCCTGTTACCATTATATTAACTCCGTAAGACTCTACGTAATGTATATTTCGCCTGAAATAAATAAAGAATAAATTAAGGATTACCGAAAATCTTGTAGGTACGTTCAGAAGTAGCTCTGTTCATGTAATTACCATTTTGATCCGCCGCTCGATCCCATCTGATCTGTGTAAGCTTCTTATACAATAGTTCAGTAGAATTTCAACCAAATTAATTAATATTATAATTGCCTTATTTCAGTTGGGGGATTATTGGGAATTCGTTATTTATTTAATCTTACCAAGCCCTATTCAGAGCACGTTCTTTACGAGAACAATGATGGTTTGTACAATGGTTTCAAAAATAAAAATGCAGATAGGTTCCTACCCAAGGCAACGCAATAATCAACGTTATGTGAATTACAATATTTCAGGATAGTTCAGTGTCTTACCAAAGATTTTAATTTAAAAGATGACTGTCTTCTTGCTTAAGCCAAAGTAACAAGTAAAGCATAGTTGTAGATAGTGACTAATGAAGTAAGGTGCGCGACTTCCCGTTGTGATTTGAAGTGCCTGTGATTTAACTGCATAGTTGGCGTGAAGACTGGACAAGAGGCGGCTGTATTGAGGGTTCGATACCAAGGCAGATTGGCGATACCCGCACGGAACAACTGTTTGTGTGATCCACAAATTGTTCTTCCGGGCTGGGTGTGATGTGTGTGTAAAATCGTATGTTTGCAAACGGACCCATATCATCATCATCATCATTATCCGCCTTTAAGTGCCCACTGCTGAGCAAAGTCCTCTTCTCACCTGGAGAAGGTTAGAGCATTAATCACCACGCTTGCTCAATGCCGGTTGGCGCTTTATTAACTTATATTTAGAAATTATAAGTCCAGGTTTCCTTACGATGTTTACCTTCACCGTATGTCAGTGGTGTCTAAATAATCATAGAAAGTACATATAACTCGGAAAAAGTCACATTGGTACTTGTTTACTTCCTGGTTACCCTTTCCGGTATCCTGGTTCCTTCATGAGAAGCGGGCGCTTTAACCTCCGGGCCACCACGCACCCACGACACAGGAAAAATCCTAAAGTGGGCGAAAATGTTTTACAAAAAAAAATATTAGTATACAGTTTATTTACGTAAATAAGTCGCATTTTTTATTTAATTAAGTATAGTGTCAATAAGAAAGACAAGCTGTTAATAAAAACTTCAAAACCACACTCAACACTATATTTTTCAAAAGTCCATTTGCCCGTAGTTTTCTAATCAAACTAGGACCAAACAAAGTTACTTAGTCTTTGTAGATCTGTATTGTTGGATTAAATCGCTAATTCGCTTCGTCTTACAGTTCTACGCTCCCTGTAAATTGTGGGGACTGAATTGATGTCGTCTCTTCTAAGACAATATACTTTTACGTAATGTAACTTCGCTTTTTTTTGCTATGAAAAAGAAAAAGTTCATTGTGAATGCAAAATTTTGTTTCGGATATTTATTAATTAACTTCTAAAAAAAAAAAAAATTGTGGTTTTCGGTATTCCATGATTCCAAATTCGAATTTGAAATAAAATATACACGTTCTTTATTAATTGGTTCCCGTTTCCACAATGCTGAATTTTACAAACAATAATAATTATTACACCTTCTTGTTTTTGTAATACT